TTGTCAGACTGCTTGCTGGAAATACCTATGAAATAAGACACATTATTTGGTATCTACCTAACAGTTGCAGGGCACTCTCCTTATTGTTCAGTCTCTGTGTGACAGGTCCTCCCTCATATAGGTGTTTGTATGGACAATCTACAGTCAAAAATACATAGTAAAATGTTTCACAAATAAAACCATGATACTGAAGCTTATTATAGAAATTTTGATTGACCTCCAAGTCCTACATAGTAATTTTTAGGAAGGCTTAAGGCCATTATTAAAAATATTTTTGTTTGAAATTAAGTATTAATTAACAATCAAAAATTCAAAGTGCTGAAAAATTGATTGGGTAGGGCAAACAAATCATTTTTTATTGTTGGCCTAAAATTCAGTCCTAAGAATTAATTCTCAATATTTTATCATTCTGAGAAACTTGACAATAGGCCAGCAATTTTACCAAAACGTCTAACTCAGATACTATGGCTTAAAAGAAATATTATTTTTGATTCAAAAATATATCTTCCAAACTTTTAATTGAACGAAATTGTAAACATCCAGACCATAAACTTTTGAGGATCCTGAAGTACTTCAAAAAATCCTTATGTAGATGTATTATTCATCACTTTTCTCTTGATAATTATATAACCTATTTGTACATGCCAATACAGGTATATGAAACTTCTTCCCTAAATATCAAAGTAAAGAAATAAAAAAAAAAAGACTTACTTAATTCCCGTAGAAAACCACTGAGTTCCATAACAAAATTGGCAACATCATCAGGGGCTGTAAAGAAAGAAAATCAAATTAATTACAGTCCTTGTAATCAATATACAATGCAATGTGTGCCTAAATGAGATCTCATGTAACTTTTGGGGGCTTGTACTGTATGCTCATATTCAACAAAACAATTAGAATAAAACTTTAAAATTAATTAATAAAACTTTGTATTCCTTGATCAACCTCTCACAAAAAAAAAAACAAATCTGCTCTCAAAACAATAAATTTAAGAAAATAAACAGACAATTGATATTACAGTGAGTTGCATTGATGCTTTCCTCTAAGCCATAGAAGCTCTTCAGCCTGTCTGTAAGCCATGACACCAGCTGTGTGAACTCTGTTGATGCTGGACCCTGATTCACAGCTTCAGATAAAGCAGATGGATCTAGAAGTGGTCCAGTGTACCTTCAAAACAAAAAAATACAAAAATTTAGAACATGCAACTACACTGGAATCGAGAATAACAACTAGGGATTTTTAAGTACTTGGTATCAGTGATTAAATCCAGAGGCCCATGGGCCACATCGCTCACCTGAGCATACTGGCTTGAAAAAAGCACAAATCAGTTTCGTTTTGAAAAGTAGGGCTTGAATTTTAAGGTACGTGAGAATTCTTCCATATCAATAACAATGGCTTTCCTTTCCTGTTCTTGAACAGAAGATTTTTTTGTATATATTTCTTTGTGCCTACTTTAGCCCCCTCAGTACCCCTAGAATCAAGATTTGAACAAATGTGAATGTACACTACCTAATGATACTTCCATATTAATATAAGTTAACATGGCTTTTCTGTTCTATAGAGGATTTTTCCAATAAAAAAAAGCTTTGATCATTTCTTTTGCCCCACCATACCCCAATCCCCACCCCAGGGGTCATGATTTAAACAAACTACATTCTACACTACCTGAGGATGCTTCCACCTAAGTTTTATCTTTCTTGGCCAAAAGGTTCTTGAAAGAAGATTTTTAAAAATACTTTTCCGATATATTCCTAATATGTAAAATTTTGATTCCCTATTGCGGCCCGGCTCTACCCCTACACTGCCTGAGGATGCTTCCAGCTAAGTTTAATATTTCCTGGCCCAATGGTTCTTGAGAAGAAGATTTTTAAAAGATGTCATTAATTCTTACTAATTATTAATTATCTCCCCTTGGAAGAGGGTGTGGCCCTTCATCACCCAATGATACTTTGTGGCAAGTTTGGTTGAAATTGGCCCAGTGGTGCTTTTTAAGAAGTCAAAAAATGCAAAAAGTTTACAGGCGGACAGACGACAGACAAAATGTGATCAGAAAATATCACTCGAGCCTTCGGCTCAGGTGAGCTTAAAAGAATATTGATGACTACCCTAACTGAGGGACTCATCTTCAATATCTGCAGTAAAATAAAATCAATATTAACAGACAGACAGTCACTGAATCAGAACTCGAAATTTGCACAGACACATTACAAATACATGTACTAATTATTTTGAAAAATTACACACCCTACATCTTCTAGGGTATCAAGAATATCATTTTCCATGCTTATTCCTCTTGCACAACCGGCAGAGGAAGTAAGCTTTACGCGAGTGCAACTAATTTCAGCGAATCAGAATGAAGATTTTATTAACTGCAGAATAGAAAAACATGGCATCGCTCAAAGAAATCGTGATTATGTACCAGAGTTTGAAAAGAGAATGGGACAAGAAACCACCGAATTTAGACAGATGCGGAGAATTTCTGACAAAATTGAAGGTGTTCTTTTCATCAGGATTTTTTTTTCATGAATTTACGAGTTGTATTTGACGAAAACTATCGCATTCAGAAAAAGGCTTTATCATTGTTATTTTGGCTCGAATTTTCTCTTTGTATTTTTTTTATGTGGACCAGGGGTCTATATATTAATATATATATATATATTTATATATATAGTATATAGGTCCTTGTGTGGACATTTAAAATGTAAATAATTCTTTTAAATTTGTATAGCCTATATGATTTTTTTTTATTTAAAGAGTTCTAAGAATAATATTACTTAACTTAGTTTTCTGAAAAGTTTGATAAATATAAAGTTGATATTTCTCATATTTGAATTTGATGTATTTCAGGGTGTTCAATTTATAAATCATTAAATGTTACAATAGTATTGGTATTATTACAATGATGTTTTTTTTTATAGATTGCACTAACAGGAGTGACATTTCTGCCAACAAATGAGAGTTCACCATCAAAACAAGAACTTCTAGTTGCAAGTATGTAAATTCCTAATCTGAAAGATATAAACTTTCACATTCACAAGAGTTATTTCCTTTTTGGAACCAGTCTAAGGTCAACCAATGTACTTATCAAAATTACCCATCAAAGTTGTATTAAGGGGGCCGACTATAGTTTTATTGTGTGAATACTACAATAGCGAAACTCTTCATTTTTATACCATATATTACTTACATTAACTTCAGTGTACATGCAATGTTTGGGGGAAATCTACCGTCCAGGTATTTTTGAGGGATTGTCTCAAAATACAGGTACATTTACTATAGGATTATATAGGAAAATGCCAATTTTTAGCACTTTAAAGCAAATTATACAAATACTACAATAGACATTTTGTTCAAACTGTAATATTTGATGAGTAATACTATATTATACAATATATGTAAGAAACACAAAATTCTACCGTCTTGCTACCAGAGGGTGCCTCTCAAAATGCAAAAAATTAGCAAATTTTACTATTACAAATGACCTACTGAGTAATTATCAATTTGGATTCAGAAGAAACCACCGTACCACAGATAATATATTTATCTTAAAAACCCTTATAAATAAATATTTAAAATGGAAGAAACAAAACATTTATGCATGTTTTGTGGATTTTACTAAAGCCTTTGATACAGTTGATCGTACTTTAATGTTACACAAACTATACCAAAAGGGCATAGGTGGGAAATTTTACAATATTATAAATAATATGTACTCAAATACTAAATATTGTTGTAAAGATGAATCTTACTATAGTGAACATTTTATAGCTACACGTGGGGTTAAACAAGGAGATAATCTTTCCCCTATTCTTTTTAATATATTTATTGATGACTTCTACTCACACTTAATTAATTATAACACAAGTCCTCCTGAATTACAAAATATTGAAGTTGGACATTTATTCTTTGCAGATGACCTAATTCTCCTCTCTACTACAAAAGAAGGTCTCCAAAACTCATTAGACTGTCTCTCAGAATATTGCCTAAAATCAAAATTGACTGTTAACTCTGATAAAACTAAAGCAATGATTTTCTCAAATAAGAAAATTGACACAACTCAATATTGTTTTTATTATAATCATTTAATAGTTCATCTTGAACATGAATATAAATATCTAGGAATTATTTTTACTTATAATGGTAAGCTTAAGTATGCAGCTGAACAACTAGCTGACCGTGCAAGAAAAGCTTTTTATGCTATGAAACGCTCTTTACCTTTTCATAATAACTTATCTGTAAAAACTCTTTTAAAATTATATACTTCACTTATTGAACCTATCATTTTGTATAGTTCTGAAATATGGATTTCAGACTTTAATATTAATATAAACAATTGTGATCAACTACCTTTTGAAAAGATACAGCATTTGATATTTAAAGATATTTTGGGTGTTCAGAGAAAAGCTTCAAATTTAGCCATTAAATATGAGCTAGGAACAGTCCCTATTTGTTGCAAAGCTATCATCTCAATGTTTAAATACTATAAGAGACTAAAAAATGTTAAGAATAAAAATAGCACTAGAAATCAAATTCTTATTGCTGCTTCCTTAGAAGATGACAACTTATATAGTAATGGTGTAAAGGATAATTGGCAAAGTCAGATTGAAAAATTAAAAAAGAAACTTAATCTTCCATCATTAGATATAACTGATAACACATTCAGCACCTGCTTGAAGAATTTTTACATAAAAAATGTTAATTTGCAACTCCAGAACATTGAATTCTCCAAATGTGGTAAATTATTATTTTTCAGTCAAATTAGAAAGAATTATGAATTACAAGACTACTTAAAATATCCAATAAATAAAGCTATACGTTCTAAATTAACAAAACTGAGAATTTCTGCACATCCCTTGGAAATTGAAGTAGGCAGATATTCAAAGCCTTGTATCCCAAAAGAATCGCGTTTTTGTCACTATTGTAAAACTATTGTAGAAAGTGAAATACATTTCATATATGACTGTCCCTTATATATAGATTTGCGAAAAAAGTACTGTTCTTTGAACATCTGTAATTTAAACGATAACATATTGAAAGAAAATCATTGTAAAGTATTATGTAATCCTGACAATGCAGTTCATTCTAGAAGGCTGTGTGAATTTTTATGTGAATGTTTTGAATTGCGTTCCAAAAATAAAGCACAATTATAATATATATGTTTAATGCATATATTAGCTCATCACTGTCCATATTATACTGCTTGCATAATGATTATGTTTAATCTTCAAGTTGTTATACTCTGCATAGTTGACTTCACTGATCCATACACTTGCATGTATGTATTTTATTACTTGTCTTTTATATGTAACATGGTTGTATGCCAACATGTTTGGTGAATCAATAAAGAAATTGAAATTGAAATTTTTATAGAGTATTACAAAACATGACGTACACAATGGATTCACATGAGAACATAATAAAAATATTGGATATATACTCAAATTTCTATGTTTTAAATTTCAAGAGCGTATGTTTATTACTTTTTCTTTAATGATATTTTTATTACCCCTTTCTTTAAAAGCTACAGATTACCATAGCGTCAAAAACACACTGCAACGACGTCACCCTACCTATCAATTGCAAAATCGGTAAAAAAATCAGTTATATCAAATTGTAATTACATTTTTATACCTAAAATTTTTTAATTTTGTTTAATTTTAATAATTTAGCGAAAAAAGTTGCATTAAAACAGTAAATACGCTTCATTTTACTATGATGCGCGAAATATTGTGCAATGGAAACTATAGTCGGCTCCCTTAAAACAGGTCTTTTTAAGTAGAAAGATAAATAAATTTGGTTATGGTGAATTTATTTATATTTTTCTGCATCAAATTTACAGTCTTGTGCATAAAAGTCAAATATTAAAACTTTATTTCTTTACTTATACTTACAAACATGTTTTTCTCTTGAAGGAGATATTCTGGAGATTGGTGCACAGTGGGCAATAGCAAAACGAGACATCCCAGTTTTTGAGCGATACATGGCCCAGTTAAAGTCTTACTACATGGACTACAAGTATGATATTAACATTTTTTGGATAATATAACCCTACACAATAAGTTACAGAAACATAAATAATATGAGAAGTATGTTATAATATGAAACATCACTCAAACAAAAAAAATATACAGTCAAACCTTGTTATCGGTAACTGGAAAGGAGCAAGAAAACGGAGAGATATCCAAAGATTAAAGATACTTAAAAAGGTGATTGGGACTTCCAAATCACTTCAACAAGGTATTCGAAATATCAATTGACCTTCAATATTCAAGATACAAAAGTTCAAATTTATATAAAATCAGAGTTCTTGAAATCTTTTTTCCGCTGTCAGTCATTTGGACTGACTGCCATGTGAAGTTTGTCAGTCCAGACAGATTTCTATCAGTCCAAAAAAACTTAAAATAAAAAGATGAAAACTTTGTTCGATTTTATTATCAATACATTGTGCACCCTGTGTCAATAAACACTGCACACTTCATGCTGATTTGATCTTCAATTTTCTTTGAATTATCTCGGGAGTTGATTTTCTTCATAGGTTTTTAATCTAGATTGATTTTCTCACTTGGCTTATCGGTTGAACAACAGTATTAAATTCTGCTATATATATTCTTACCAAAAATGCGCAAGTTTGAATAGATGTAATTAAAACAAACTTCTGAGAAATTTCCTTTTCAGATCTTGTAAAACTCTTCTTATAAAGATTTTGGTACCAAAAAATACATACTGTATACAGGGAAATTTTCGCCCCCGTTTTATTTTCGCCCCTTTCGCCCTCTTCTCGAAGGGGTAAATTTAAGACGGAGCGAATTGAAATTACACAG